AGAAATTAATACATAATATCAAACAAAGCTAATAAAAAGTGGATAAAATCTAATGGGATGATCTTTTATTTCAAGAACTTAGAGATCCCAACACTGACTCAGTCTTAAATAAAATGAATAAATTATCATAATCTTTCAGGAATATACATCATAAATGTTAAAGTGGAAAGGTTTATTTAAAACATATAAGAGTTATAATATTACATTTAGGCATAATCAGCTGAATATACTTTACTTTGTAATTATGGTGGTTGATGTTCATGTCTGCCATATATAAAAAATGAGCCAAAACGAAATTATTGATAATTTTCATAAAATCATATTCAGCACGTTCCTACATGTGCTTGCGTGTTGTTAACGCGTTCCCATGGCGACCGGCCGGAAGTGCGAGTAACTGATCGTCTTCTCAATGTGTTGTTTACGTTATTGTAACACGTTTGTGTTTTTATCTTAGTTTAACTTCTTATGCTTCAATTGTATCTTCTAACCACTCCACATTTGGTTAAATTGCATTTAGAAAGTTTATATGCGGTGTGTTATTAAAGTTAAATAAAGCAGAGGCTTTTATTAGCAAAACGGGCTTTAACGGCTAATTCGGAAAAGCATGAGATATTCCACATCATATCCCACATATCACATTGACAATGTTCAGGAACCGACAATATCTCATATTTCACTGAAATACTTTACCATACATTCAAATCCAGCGAAGCTGCAAACCTTAGCACATAGCATTACAAGAGAAAAAAAGAGAGAAAGAAGTAAACTTTTCCATCGCATATTCTATATACCAGGTTTATTCTTTGCCCATTTGTTTGTGTATAGCCTATGGTATTTTCCATACATAATTAATCACTATTTTTCCCTCTTATTCTTATACAATAAACATATTTTACTAGATATCTGAATCTTTAATTCGTGATTGGACACATTCATAGAATAAATGTTCTGTTGAGACAGTAAACTACCTCTCTCCGATGATTATATAGTGAATTCCAATATGATTTAGATAAGAATATTTCATAGTAGGCTACATTGTATTAACAAAAATAAATAAATAAATAAATAAATAAAAATATTATCTAAAAATGTCACACTGCCTAATGCGAATAATCTCCCTCTGTCTCTGAATGTGTTTCCTGAGCTCCAGCACGGTTATCTTCACAACACTGCCATCGTCTGGACGCCACTGGAAATAAGAGCATGAGACGCTGTGCGTGCTCGTGCACGGCATGCAGGGATCAAAGTGCACTCAAAAACAGATGGAAGATGGTCAGTGTAGTTTAGCACACACTTGTTTCTCAGTGATCAGTGTAGTTTAGTACTGGTTTTTCGGTGATCAGTGTAATTTAGTAAGTACTGATTTCTCAGTGATCAGTGTAGTTTAGCACACACTGGTTTCCCGGTGGTGTAGTTTAGTATGTACTGGTTTCTCAGTGATCAGTGTAGTTTAGCACACACTGGTTTCTCGGTGGTGCATGCCAGTGCATGCTAAACTACACTGATCACAGAGAAACCAGTGTGTCCTAAACTACACTGATCACTGAGAAACCAGTGTGTCCTAATAACACAGTCTCATCCCAAAAAGTCATATAACTGACGTTTTGGGACGTATTTTGACCATACGTCAATATTCGCCTTTTTAGGGCCCCCTTAAACGTCGGTAGATGAGGTTATGGGATCCTAACTCTACCCCAGACCTAAACCTAACCCTAAACCTACCCCGTCACCTAACTGACGTTAAAGGTAAAGCGTCAGTTGTATGACGGCCCGGGATCGCCATCTACCGACGTTTAAGGGGGCCCTAAAAAGGCGGATATTGACGTATGGTCAAAATACGTCCCAAAACGTCAGTTATATGACTTTTTGGGATGAGACTGTGTTATTAGGACACACTGGTTTCTCAGTGATCAGTGTAGTTTAGCATGCACTGGTTTCTCATTGATTGGTGTAGTTTAGTGTACTGGTTTCTCATTGATCAGTGTAGTTTAGTATGTACTGGTTTCTCAGTGATCAGTGTAATTTAGCAGACACTGGTTTCTCAGTGATCAGTGTAGTTTAGCAGACACTGGTTTCTCAGTGATCGGTGTAGTTTAGTATGTACTGGTTTCTCATTGATTAGTGTAGTTTAGCACACACTGGTTTCTCAGTGATCAGTGTAGTTTAGCACACACTGGTTTCTCATTGATTAGTGTAGTTTAGCACACACTGGTTTCTCAGTGATCGGTGTAGTTTAGTATGTACTGGTTTCTCATTGATCAGTGTAGTTTAGCACGCACTGGTTTCTCAGTGATCAGTGTAGTTTAGCACACACTGGTTTCTCAGTGATCAGTGTAGTTTAACACGTATGGTTTCTCAGTGATCGGTGTAGTTTAGCACACACTGGTTTCTCAGTGATCAGTGTAGTTTAGCACGCACTGGTTTCTCAGTGATCAGTGTAGTTTAGCACACACTGGTTTCTCAGTGATCAGTGTAGTTTAACACGTATGGTTTCTCAGTGATCGGTGTAGTTTAGCACACACTGGTTTCTCAGTGATCAGTGTAGTTTAGCACGCACTGGTTTCTCAGTGATCAGTGTAGTTTAGCACACACTGGTTTCTCATTGATCAGTGTAGTTTAGCACACACTGGTTTCTCAGTGATCAGTGTAGTTTAACACGTATGGTTTCTCAGTGATCGGTGTAGTTTAGCACACACTGGTTTCTCAGTGATCAGTGTAGTTTAGCACGCACTGGTTTCTCAGTGATCAGTGTAGTTTAGCACACACTGGTTTCTCAGTGATCAGTGTAGTTTAACACGTATGGTTTCTCAGTGATCGGTGTAGTTTAGCACACACTGGTTTCTCAGTGATCAGTGTAGTTTAACACGTACTGGTTTCTCAGTGATCGGTGTAGTTTAGCACACACTGGTTTCTCAGTGATCAGTGTAGTTTAGCAGACACTGGTTTCTCAGTGATCAGTGTAGTTTAGTAGACACTGGTTTCTCAGTGATCAGTGTAGTTTAGCAGACACTGATTTCTCAGTGATCAGTGTAGTTTAGCAGACACTGGTTTCTCAGTGATCAGTGTAGTTTAGCACACACTGGTTTCTCAGTGATCAGTGTAGTTTAGCACACACTGGTTTCTCAGTGATCAGTGTAGTTTAGCAGACACTGGTTTCTCAGTGATCAGTGTAGTTTAACACGTACTGGTTTCTCAGTGATCAGTGTAGTTTAGCACACACTGGTTTCTCAGTGATCAGTGTAGTTTAGCACGCACTGGTTTCTCAGTGATCAGTGTAGTTTAGCACACACTGGTTTCTCAGTGATCAGTGTAGTTTAGCACACACTGGTTTCTCAGTGATCAGTGTAGTTTAGCACACACTGGTTTCTCAGTGATCAGTGTAGTTTAGCAGACACTGGTTTCTCAGTGATCAGTGTAGTTTAACACGTACTGGTTTCTCAGTGAGTAGTTTAGCAGACACTGGTTTCTCAGTGATCAGTGTAGTTTAGCACGCACTGGTTTCTCAGTGATCAGTGTAGTTTAACACGTACTGGTTTCTCAGTGATCAGTGTAGTTTAGCACACACTGGTTTCTCAGTGATCAGTGTAGTTTAGTATGTACTGGTTTCTCAGTGATCAGTGTAGTTTAGTATGTACTGGTTTCTCAGTGATCAGTGTAGTTTAGCAGACACTGGTTTCTCAGTGATCAGTGTAGTTTAGCACGCACTGGTTTCTCAGTGATTGGTGTAGTTTAGTGTACTGGTTTCTCGGTGGTGTAGTTTAGCACACACTGGTTTCTCAGTGATCAGTGTAGTTTAACACGCACTGGTTTCTCAGTGATCAGTGTAGTTTAGCACACACTGGTTTCTCATTGATTGGTGTAGTTTAGTGTACTGGTTTCTCGGTGGTGTAGTTTAGCACACACTGGTTTCTCAGTGATCAGTGTAGTTTAACACGCACTGGTTTCTCAGTGATCAGTGTAGTTTAGCACGCACTGGTTTCTCAGTGATCAGTGTAGTTTAGTATGTACTGGTTTCTCAGTGATCAGTGTAGTTTAGCACGCACTAGTTTCTCATTGATCGGTGTAGTTTAGCAGACACCGGTTTCTCAGTGATCAGTGTAGTTTAGTATGTACTGGTTTCTCAGTGATCAGTGTAGTTTAGCACACACTGGTTTCTCAGTGATCAGTGTAGTTTAGCAGACACTGGTTTCTCAGTGATCAGTGTAGTTTAGTATGTACTGGTTTCTCAGTGATCAGTGTAGTTTAGCACGCACTGGTTTCTCAGTGATCAGTGTAGTTTAGCACACACTGGTTTCTCAGTGATCAGTGTAGTTTAGCACGCACTAGTTTCTCATTGATCAGTGTAGTTTAGCACACACTGGTTTCTCAGTGATCAGTGTAGTTTAGCACACACTGGTTTCTCAGTGATCAGTGTAGTTTTAGCACACACTTGTTTCTCAGTGATCAGTGTAGTTTAGCACACACTGGTTTCTCAGTGATCAGTGTAGTTTAGTATGTACTGGTTTCTCAGTGATCAGTGTAGTTTAGCACACACTGGTTTCTCAGTGATCAGTGTAGTTTAGCACGCACTGGTTTCTCAGTGATCAGTGTAGTTTAGCACGCACTGGTTTCTCAGTGATCAGTGTAGTTTAGCACACACTGGTTTCTCAGTGATCAGTGTAGTTTAGCACACACTGGTTTCTCAGTGATCAGTGTAGTTTAGCACGCACTGGTTTCTCAGTGATCAGTGTAGTTTAGCACGCACTGGTTTCTCAGTGATCAGTGTAGTTTAGCACGCACTGGTTTCTCAGTGATCAGTGTAGTTTAACACGTACTGGTTTCACAGTGATCGGTGTAGTGTAACTATGTACTGGGTTCTCAGTGATCAGTGTAGTTTAGCAGACACTGGTTTCTCAGTGATCAGTGTAGTTTAGCAGACACTGGTTTCTCAGTGATCAGTGTAGTTTAGCACGCACTGGTTTCTCAGTGATCAGTGTAGTTTAGCACGCACTGGTTTCTCAGTGATCAGTGTGTGGTTCAGAGTCATGTGAATGTTGAGGCGGCTCCGGCTCGGCTCGGCTCAGTCAGGGCTGATGTTCAGTCATCATGCGCTGTTGCTGTACGCCTCTGTTTGGAGGATCACATGAACTTTTGATTATTAATGATGTTTTACGATCACGTATGGAGAAATGTCCCAGGAATTAAGGATCGTTTTTTGTCAACTTTCGCTTTTTCTGATCCGCGCTTTCAACAACACTTAACAGCGACTTCACTCAACTTCTCATGCTAACCGAAGCTAACTCAAATCAATGCCAGATTCATCAGAATCATTATGTTCATGATGGGATTTTTACTTTATTCTACTTCAGTTTTACATTTTATTTTATTTTAACGACACTCTTGGATATATGAAGTTTTCATTTCCGGAAATCAGGGATTTTAATATGAATTCCTCAGTGGATTTATCGCTGAAGAAAGCGCTGAAAACTCCTCCAACACGACGAACTGCTGAGGTAAAAACACCCACAGAAATACCCTTCATTATGCAGACACGACTAAAAGAAACACTTTATAATGTCAATAACGCGTCATTTTATTATATATCAACACAATAAAAAGTTTATTGGGTTCGATTTGGGACTCATTCAGATCAAATATTCGTAAATACTTGTATTCAGTGTTTCCTACTTTAAGTCTTAGTAGTTGTAGTTAATCGCTTGTTTTGTGTCTCTAAGTTATGTTTTTGTGTTATGAGGTTATGTGTTGTACATTGACAGATGTTCATCTAGGACAGACTGGTTCCTCAGTGAAGTACAGTAGAATATGTTCATCAGCTCAAGTCATTTATTAATGACAGAAATCAATGAAAGTTTACTGCATTCCAGCGGTGGAGCCCGGCTGTGTCTCAAATCCTAGTGAACTGACTGTGTTTCAGGGCCTCCTCACTGTATAAAAATCTAGTCAGCTGCTTAGAGAAAGCGTTTAGTCATCATAGTGGCAATACCTTGTGATCTGCCAATTTTGACAGCATTAAGGGCTAAAATCCCAATATTGTGGTGTATCTGTTGATCACTGTGTGCAGATGTCTGGAGGGAAGAAGTTTGTTATCTGTTTTTATGCTGGTATTGGCGGGCTAGACTGCCATGACCTCTTTCTAGTGTTTTTGTGTGTGTGTGTACACTCTGTAGGGTGAGATGCACATCTGGAGCAGCAGACTATTTCAGAGATTTTAAAGAGAAGACAACTCTAGTTGTGCATTATTACTTGCATTTTCTTTGATTTATGTTCTTCTGCGTAAATCTGGGTCAGGGTATTAAAAATCCGCCATACGTTTGACACAAGATATCTTGAATATCAGTGCAAAGGTTGGTTTTATTGCAGGGCTCAACAATTTTTTTTTTGTCAATTGGTCAGTAAGTCATGGCAAAGTCATTTTTGCAATTTAACCAGTTAACCAGCTAGATATCATGATTTTGATGACATCGCCAGGATTTGAAACAACAAGAACAATGACAGAAAACAAAGGTTTGCGTTTGCATGTTATAAAAAGCCATTATCAATGGCAACAGAAGTGCAAGTGACTGTGAGCTGGCCAAAAACTGTCACATTGGTCCCGGGACAATTATTATCAAGCACTGTATTGTAATGGTTTGATCAGGACACTTTCAAACCATCTGGGATAGTGTGATATTAATGGGTTAATTCACACAAAAATGAAAATGATCCCATAATTTACTCACCCTCAAGCCATCCTAGGTGTGTAAGACTTTCTTCTTTCAGCCAAACACAATCAAGAGTTATATTAGAAAATATTAGAAATTATATATTATATTAGAAAGCCCAAAGGGTTAATAAAGGCCTTCTGAAGCGAAGCCACGTGTTTTAGTAAGAAAAATATCCATATTTATAACTTTATAACTTTATATCTCTGGCTTCCGTACGTTTTCAATAGCAGTGTGTTGCAGTGTTTCCCAACCTTTTCTTTTTACTAGATTTGATAAGTAAAAAATCCTATGGCACACCACTAGGCATATATAAAAAAAAAAAATGGCACAAGCATGCAGTGTTTCAAATGGCATATTAAAAGTAGTAGTACTCATATTTAACGTGAAGCTTGAGCTTTAGTCGGGTAGGATGATAGAGTCATCACTTGGTGATGATTAAACAACAAATTTACATATCGTCCCCGTCGAGAGGAAAACTAGTGTTTAAAAACTATATAATTAAACAAAAATTCAAATGTTTTTTGACCAGCGAGTTATGAAACAGCTTCATCTCATTGTGCTTTCATCACGTAAAGGATATAGTTACATTCATTTGCATATTCATAGAACCGCGTATACTAAATGAGGCCAGGGTGTCGAGTTACATTCAAGATATTTTAAGGCATGAACACATTTTTTTCAAGGACAAAACATTTTTGGTGAACAAAGATGAGTCACTCACCTGTGCTATGCGCACACCTGTAACGTCCCCCTGTCGTCAATCATTTTATCCCTTAAACTCATCTTTGATCACCAAAATGATTATTTAAAAGTTTTTTCCTTGATAGAAATGTCTTCATGTCTTAAAATATCTTGAATGTAAACCGACACCCTCGCCTCATTTAGTATGCGCGGTTCTATGAATATGCAGATGAGCCCCGCCTCCACTCACTCACTCAGAGATCCACTGGTTGACGATCACACGTTGATCTGATTGGTTACAAGGTCGTTTGTGACGTCAGAAACACCAGCTGTATAAACAGCTATATTTCAAACTGTATAAACAACATTAAATTTGATTTTTACCACTTTAAATATTAAATTAAATTGAAAACCACACACAGACGTAAATAATGACCAATAGCATTGATTTTAATAAAACAAAAATGATGAAATGTACAGATCCAAGGTTTTGGTCCGACAGCGCGATGATATATTCTTATTTGTAGCATTTATTTTTGGGAATTTGATAATTTCCCACAGACAACCATCGGTGTGTTTTCCATAAACAGTGCGATGCATCATTAAAGAAGCCACTAGCTCGTCACGACAGTTTCCCAAACTATACTGTCGTGAAGTATCGTTCAGCCGTGTTGCTTAAAGGAGTAGTTCACTTTAAAAAAAAAACTTTTGCTGATAATTTACTCGCCCCCATGTCATCCAAGATGTCCATGTCTTTCTTTCTTCAGTCAAAAAGAAATTAAGGTTTTTGATAAAAAAACATTCCAGGATTTTTCTCCATATAATGCACTTAAAAAACAAACAAATCTTTTTCCGAGTAATTTCGTTCGTTGAATGAACCAATTGACTCGAAAAAAGATTCGTTCATTTTGACAGGAGAGTCACGAACGCGCATCACAGAACAGAGCAAGGCGAGCATTTGAGCTTATAAAACTTAAACCTTGTTTATTTTTTAAATGAGCGATCGTTTGGCTTGATAAGACCCTTATTCATCGTCTGGAATCGTTTAAAGCCCTTTGAACAGTTTGCACTGAAACTGTCTTTTGGACCCCATTGAAGTCCATTATATGGAGAAAATCCTGGAATGTTTTCATCAAAAACCTTAATTTCTTTTCGCCTGAAGAAAGAAAGACGTGGACATCTTGGATGACATGGGGGTGAGTAAATTATCAGCAAAAGTTTTTTAATGATGTCACGCAGATGTTGGAGTAATAACTACTGTTAATGAATCTGTTTGAGATCGAATGTTTTGCTATAAATCACGATCATGGCGTCTGAGGACTCATGTTATTTCACTTTATTTCCAGATTCACTCATGGACTCGTTCTCACACACTAGATCTCGTTCACACACGCGCACTTTTCACAAAGTACACTTTAAATCTCTCAAACTCAAAGTTGTAAATGACATTAGTGTGTGTGCTAAATGAAAGACACAGGTTGCACTGAATGTCAGTTTGCTTATTTTGCTCAAGATGAGGATTTATTGAGTCATGTCATGTACACACTAGAAACTCGAGATAGTCGCTCACACACACACCTCTGAGATGCTGTCTGCGAACGTTCGTTGGAACGATGGTTTCGGGAAACGCACTCCAGGATGGGAAACGCTGCTCTCTTGTAATGGTTTGATGAAGCGGGACACTTTCAAAGTGTGATTTTAATAAAGCAAGAGCATCTGTCTGGTTTAAAGCCGTTCCTCTGTGGTTCACTGAGATCTTTTCTCTTCATCTCTTGTCCTGGAGTTCAGCGAGTGTGTGTGTGTGTCGCTCCAGGCGTGGGCGTGTCCGACTGCAGTAAAACACACAAACAAACACAAACTCTCATAGCAAGTTTCCAGATGGGTGTGTCGAGCGTTACGTAAGAGAGCAAAACAAATATTCCTCGTGTCTATTTCCATAGCATGATCCGCCCGCCTCGTGCCTCCAGCTGCTTTGCCTGATGGGAGTTTGATGATGCGGTGTTACGGGTTACGTCAGAAACACACACACTAATGCAATCCTCAACATCCAGCAGCCGCTCGATGTCAGGAACCTCAGCGATACTTCCATCATAGTTATAATTATTGCTGGTGCAGATATTAAAAAACAGCCGTGAAGTTACTTTGAGTCTTCTTTTGAACTAGTTTTCTTTATTTAATACGCCAGATTCGCTCCATATAAGTGTGTGTGTGTGCACTCAGCAGGCTCTTGTGTTTGTCCACCTATGTTGGACAATATTTCTGAATAATCCTTTTTTTTTGCATGCAAAATGAATTTCAATTAAAAATCTACTGAGCTTTAGTTCAACTGCGTAATTGACAGATTCCTAAGCTAAAACCGTATGACAAAATCAGCACGTGACTTTCGCAGTGTTTCTTGAACCTAATAATTAAATATATGCAATATGTGTCAAATTCTTCCATTTAAACAATGTCCGTTTGTTGTTTAATCAATATTCAATTAGAATGATGAGACAGTTTATCTCTAAAAACTATTTAGATTATAACTCTAGTACATGGGGCATTTAATAAGTGAAAAGAAATCGCAAGTTAAAACCACTAACAAGGCTCAAACACAGTAACATAATGAGGGTCCCTACATGCAAACCGAAGCATTGAGAACTGCACGTGAAGGGTCAATTGTGACTATATCTCACAAATTCTGACTTTATAACACAATTGAGACTTTCGATCTCACGCAATTCTGACTTTTTAACACAATTGAGACTTTATATCACAAATTCTTACTTTATAAGATGCAAGTGCAACTATATCTCACAAATTCGGACTTTATAACAGGCAATTGAGACTTTCGATCTCATGCAATTCGGACTTTAACACAATTGAGACTTTATATCACAAATTCTTACTTTATTTCACGTAATTGTGAGATAAAAAAGTCACAATCACCTTTTTTATTTAAAAAAAAAAAAATACTACGTGCCTCAGAACTAATATTCAAATTCCCACAGTCTTCAAAATATCGTCCTGTGTTCAACAGGACAAAACATTTATACAGGTTTGAAACAACCCGAGGCTGGGGTGAGTAAATGACGGCATTTGTGGGTGAACTATCGCTTTAAGTAAAGTTCAGTAAAGTTTGCTCATTTACTAATTGTCAGTGGTGAATGACCACAATCCCATGCTTGATTTCAGGACCGTTGCTACTCTGAATTTGATGATCTGACCGGATGCAAGGATTCAAATCTGACTGTTTCTTATACTGCAGCCCTTCAATAAAGTAACTAACAAATATTCAGTAAATACCGCAGTGAATCATACGTCCTCATCAGGATTCAGTGCTAAGGATGTTTTCTGCTGGCCTGATTGGGGAAGTGGTTAAAATGTCTTGCCAAAAAAACACATGTGACTCAATGGGCTAACAGACGTTTCTTATAGTGGCCATGTTTAAAGCTCAAGGGCTGGCTCTGTCTTAAGGATGAAAAACCACATTAGATTTTTTCACTTAAATATGACTAATAATCATATTTCAGTTAAAAGGTACTGGTTTGTCTCCTAAATCCACAAGAGGGCACGACGAGCGTTTGTAAACCAGATCAAGCGATGCAACCACATGAATGTGTGGTAAAAGAGTCCACAACATTTTAAAGCAATGTTTATAAAACAAATGTATTTTCTTAAACTATGCATAAATAAAGACTTGTTTGTTTTTGCAAGACTGCAAGCATTCTTTCTATTATTTAAACTTTATATAATTATTATGTAAATATATTTAGGGTCGGAAATTAACAGGATTTGGGGCAAAAAAACACCAAAATGAACAAAAATTCAAGAGAAGGGGCAAAAAATACCCTTAGACTGGGTAGACTTTGTCAGTAGATTTGCTTGCATTTTATGCGTTATTTGCAGCATTGAGTATTATAAGTGGAGCCAGACCGATATATCGGCCGATATTAGGCATTTTCCAAACTATCGGTATCAGCAGTTATAATGGCCGCTAAACGAATATTTCAAAAATATTTTGCTAAATACTATTGCTAAATTATGGCTCATCTTAGACTAGCTAACCACAAAGCTAGCTAATGCCACTATCATCAGTGGAAGACCGTTAACGTTAACATTAATGAGCTCGGAAACAACACTGAACTTTTTCTGCCTAAATAAAGTAGTTATTACTGTATTTATAACTAGCATATCTCTAGTTACAGTCCCTGCATTGTAAAATGTAAGTTATACTTGCGAGGAGTGAACATTGAGACATAGAGAAAAAGTATCAAACGTATCTTGAGCAGAGAAGTTAGCTTTTCTTTTACACGTGTGTGAAATCCAACAATATTTAATTAAAAAAAATATCGGTCGATATATCGGAATATCAGATTTTAAAACCCAAAAATATTTGTATCGGTATCGGCCTTCAAAATCCTTTATCGGTCGTGCTCTAATTATAACTAATCACACACACTTCGGTTGACCTTACAAATGCAATGTCCAATCAGACTCATCATCATAAACAACAAACTGCAGAAAACACTGAGGCCATGTCCACACTAATACGTTTTTGTTTGAAAACGTATATTTTTCTCTCCGTTTTGGCCTTCCGTCCACACTGAGACGCCGTTTTAAGTCAACAAAAACGTATCGTTTGGAAAACGCTCTTCAAAGTGGATAAATTTGAAAACGCCGTTTTCGCGTTGTAGTATGGACACAGTGAAAACGGAGGTATTTCAAAACGATGACGTAAGTTTAGTCATGTGATCCATGTAGTACCAATAGATATTCATGTTTATCGGTATTGTGCCTGTTATGTGTTATTCATTTTTACACTATTGCTAAAATATGTATGTGCTATTCTTCATAGCACAGTACTGAAAAGATAACAGATAATGTAGTCTACTCACATTTGCTGTCCTGCAGCAAAACAGGAGAGCAGTTGCGTTTTAGACCAAACTGAATGCGACCTGGACACATCAGTGATGGTGAGATATTTTGCTAAATAAAATTATCCTGTTATTGTGCGATGACATTATTATTTATTTTCCCATCTGTATCATCTCAGTGAGCTTTTGTGAAGTTTCACGCATGCGCAGTAAAGTGAATTTAGAAGTTACTCATCCACACTGAAACGTCGGAAAACACCTGAAAACGCTAGTGTGGACGGAGAGCGTTTTTAAACGAAAACCCCGTTTTCAAATGTATCCGGATTAATGTGGACGTAGCCTGAGGGACTGAGTGTGCAGTGTAGCCGGCGTGTCATACATACACACGCAATTTCATGAGATCACTGTGGTCCATGAGATGTTTAAGAGACGGCTTTATGTGTGTGCGCTCTGAGTACGAGTCTCTCAGAAATGAATTCCTTAAATTTCTTGAATGTTTAAATTTCCAAGCTGTGCATATGATAAACTTTAGTGGTGATCAGCAACACTGATCAGGCGAGGGAAAGCCTCGGCAGACGATGTGACCGAGGCCTGCAAAGTGACACTATAATGACCTACAATGCCTCTCTAGGTCAGGAGAGACAAAACAGACATGAATGAGGTCAAACCTGAAATGTTAGTTTTGCTGATGTGGAGGAATGCTGGGAATGTGACGATCTGCTTGTTTGAGACTGTGTTGATACCTCGTGCAGTGAACCATCCTCCGTCCTCACCTGGGAAATTCTTCACAGTATTAATCGTTCGTAAGGTGGTTGTTAAGTTGCAATAATATGCAACAATTCTTGAGAGTTACGTTTTTGTAAAACTACGAGCGTGAACAAAAGCCTTCGCGGGTCGGTCAAAACATTTTTCTAAATGAATGTACTATATTTTATTTTGATAATGCTTTCGTTTACACAAAATAAAGATGTATTTAAGGGATTTTTACTAAATTAATTTTATTTTAATTTTAGATTTGCACTGAAAATGTCAACAACTTTTAGCCTTTTATGTTCAAACCGGAGTCAGACAAAGATGGAGAAGTGAACATCTCTGAACGTTTAGTTGATGCATGTATGTGTAGTTATCTTCTAGTCATTGAGCATATTCTGTCATGATAATCTATGAATCGTGTTCTGGGGGCGGGGTTTATGTAAATGACTGGGTTTGTAATGGGTTTGAAGCTCGTGTAGTTCTATCAGCCGTTTGTTGTAGTCCTTGTTGTAGCAAATGCTCTGAACTTTGAGCGTCGTAACTCTGCAGATGTTGTTTATGATCAAACAGCAACATTACACATTAACAACAATTAGAAAAGTGAAATCATAATCAACCACCCCTTTAATAATCACTGTATTGCAGTGAGGAGTATCTAAACAATAGTGTGTTTAGTAGGGCTGGGTAATAAATATCGATTTCTCGATATTAATCGATTCTCATTTTTACGAACCGATATCGATTCTTAAATCTCAAGAATCGATTAGTCATCCTGTGTCATTTGAATGAATGGGACATTGTATCGCGGCTGCGCGCATCCAAAAAATCCCAATAATCTTTGTCCTTTGTTACTACTGATATGAAACAAAGTCTCAATTTTCAAATTACATCCATTTTTTTTAGAAATTCAGAAACATAAATAGCGTTTTGTCGCTGTGGCGTGAGATCGCTCTGGAGAAGCAGCAGGGCTGATCTCTCTTCCGGCTTAATAATACCAGTCACAGCGCCAAATAAACATGAATGAGCATCTGAAAGTGTGTTAAAGATAGAGTACAACTTATCCAAATCCGTATCATGTCACATTGATTCGCTCAATCAGCGTTTCAACCGTGGAAAGACGTCAGTTAAACAGCTTGTAATCAATGTATCGTCATATTTACCTCAAAAAACCCACATAAACTCGTTAGTCAGCTAGAAAAAATAACTCTAGAGAGGAGCATTTTGCTAAATATATACACCATATTACATATGCATTATAATCTTAATGTTCTTCAATATTTAATGCATATTTGAATAAATATGGCAAGTTTTTATGACAGCACCATTTAAATGTTTATATTTCAAATAATCTTCTTATTATAAAAATAAATAAAAGTGTAATTTAAGTGTTTGTATAGCTACAAAACAGTTCATTATTACCTTCATATTAGGCTAATGAAGCCTATAGGCTACAACTAGACTCCCACAGTTTACAGCATTAGTGAAGAGATTTGATTCCCTTGAGAAAAATGGCCATTTATTGTAACTGATATCCAAAATAATCAATATTGAATCGAATCGAATCGTAATCGAAATCGAATCGAATTGCAAGCTTGTGAATCGAAATCGAATCGAATTGTGAAATTTGTCCGAAATACCCAGCCCTAGTGTTTAGACACGTGTGTGTGTGTGTGTGTGTGTGTGAATGAAATGCTTCTTCAGAAGCGCGTTGGCAGTTTTCTGTCAGCTGTGATTCATGATCAACTCTTCAGGCTTCAGGGCTCTTGTGTAATCTCACATCAGTCAGACGTTAATCGAGGACTGCATCATTTACTTCCATTTATTCTGCTGGATTATTATCGGATGGTAATTGGGCTTCACGATATTGAAGAAAAATGTGATATCTCATTAAATAATGCGATATTTCTTCAACCCCATGCTGCACTTAAACTCTAATTCACAAAACTCTACAAATACATGTTTTGACTAAAATGCTGCATAATTGGTGAAACACCAGTCGCCATCATCAGCCAATCACAAAGACAGATGTTTGACCAGCGCTTCACCCGTACTGATGTGTGTGTGTGTGTGTGTGTGTGTGTCATTTAGGACCTGAACACCATCTACGCTCACCTGTACCACATGGACGTGCTGTCCCACCTCAGAGAACACCAGCTCAGGTGAGACTCAGCCACACACACACACACACACACACACACTAAACACCGGTGTCGGAGATGTGTTTGTCTCTTCGGCTCACCAGAGCAAAAAATACAGTAAAGTCATACATCATTACTGCAGTGTTCAGTGTCACATGACCCTGCAGAATCACTCTGATAGGAGGATCTGATGCTCAAGAAACATACATGATTATCATCAGTATTTCTGTGCAAACCGTCAAACATGTTTTTCTCAGGATTATTTTATAACGAAAGTTCAAAAGAACAACATTTATTTGAAATAGAAACTTTTGTAAGGTTGTACGTGTCATCCATAGTGAAAACAATACGTATCTGAAATACATTTATTTATATTACATATTTATATGCTTTATATAAATAGGCTACCCTGCAATTGTACTTTTGGTGTATTAAACAGATTCTGCTAAATTAGGAAGAACTAACTTTGTACTTTAATTGATTAATTAATGCACTGGTAACACTTTACAATAAGGTTCATTAGTTAACATTATTAACTAACATGAACTAACGATGAGCAATGCATTAGTTACAGTGTTTATTAATCTTTGTTAATGTTAGTTAATACAAATACAGCTGTTCATGGTGCGTTCATGTTAGTTCACAGTCCATTAACTAATGTTAACTAATGCAACCTTTGATTTTAATAACGTATTAGTAACTGTTGGAATTAATATTAACTAAGATTAATGAATGCTGAAGAAGTATTGTTCACATATTGTACATGTTAACTAATGAACCTTAATGTAAAGTGTTACCAATGCACTTTAATTGTGCAGAAATAGTGCTAAACTAAAGATATAATTAAATATATTTGAATTGTGTTGAAGTGGGACTATTGCATGTATACTTATATACACGTATATATATTATATTATACAGAGATCATCCTATCCTCACTAATAAAACACATTTTAGGCTAAATATGAAGAAATATGCATTGTGCAATAAATAAATAATTATATTTTACAGTTATATATCAGTAAGTTTAAAGTGATATGTCAGTACAGAAGTGTGATGTTAATGTATTTTAAAGAGATTTTGCCATAGTTTTTTTTTTTACTTCTGATCTATTTAATGCATTCTTGCTGAATAAAAGTATTAACTTCTTTAAAAAAGGCGAAGTCTTACTCTCTCTCTCTGTGTGTGTGTGTGACAGGTCCATGTGCATGACGGCCAGATATGAGCGTTATGATGCAAACCACGTTCTCTTCTAGTAAGTACATCTCTGTAATATCATGATCTATATGTGTTAGTCGTTTAAACACCTTTATAATGATCATGTTAGTTAATCTATAACTAGTGTTCGAATTATTATTTAGACTGGTGATGTCACTTGTAAACCATATTAGCGAGTAGTAGATTACCTGTCAGCACCTGCTCTCTCCATCACCCTTCCTCTCAGGCGGCTCATCTTGCCCTGTCTCTTCTCCTCCTAAATATGAGATTTTTTTAATTTACTGAAGGCCACAAATTGTATATTAATTCTCAATTCATTATTAATCTTGTGCCTAACATGATGAAACGGCTTTGTAACGTGTCTTGTCCCTCACAATCACAGTAAACTAATTATTACAGTAGTCACGTTACATACGCCTGTTTTCGGTTCAGTTTTTCAGTTCAATTTTTGTCATTCGTTTAACATTAATGACCTTAAAAATGGTCAGTTATGAAATGTTTATTTTAGCTACTTACATCTTATCTCGCAGTAGACTGTACACTGAAGCGCGAGTCGCGCTGCTAAAATTTGCGCTCAGCAGCGTCTGAGAACATAAAGCCCGCCTACTTTGATTTGATTGGTCATCTCAGATATAGAGAGCCTAAGTCCCTCCCCTTACGGTCGACCACCATGGGACCTTATTTCAGAAAAATATTGAATGGTAGTCAATGGCGAGAGACAACAAATATTTTGATCTCATTTGAATTGTGCCCTGAATTACACATATGATGTTTGTCAATTTAAAAGATACATTTTAGTAAAGAAAGTCGCAGTTTGATGTGAAACCGTTGAGGTATAAGACTGTGAAAATACGTAATTACAAAGACTACAAACCCCAAAGGCGCACATTTTCTCTCAATGAATGAAGCTAAAGCTAACTTTACTGAGGCTGTCTGTCATTGTTTCTACAGTCTTACGTTATAACCGTAACGTTACGCCGTCCTACCTGAGTGTTTTGTACCAGACTGCACACACACGAGCAGCGGATCTCACTCGTTGTTTCGCTTCCCGGTATCGAGAATCGAGTATCGATTGGAACCGGGACTAACTTTTCATTTTTCCCGGAATCGTTCAAAAGTTACAATTTCGATCCCTAGTTTCGATATTCACAGTCCGCCGAGCGGAAGAAGAAACCGCTGAACAACACCAACGAAGAAGCGTTTACCGGAAGTGTTGGCATAACCGTCCAAAGTGTGGCTTCACTTTTCTAAAAATAACGAAATCTTGGCAAAATGCTAAATTTGTGACAAAAGGAGTATTTGTGACAGAAGGAGTATTTCCTTCAGAAATACCGTTGGTTAGCAAGGTTAGCTAAACTTTTTTGACCCTGCGTCTTAAAAGAATCGGAATCGAGAATCGTTAGGAACCGGAATCGAAACAAGGAATCGGAATTGGAATCAGAATCATTCAAATTCGATCGATACCCAACCCTACTTCCCGGGAGATGTAGTTCATCGAGCGATTTTCACATAAAACTACATGTTACTCTTCTGTTTTATGACAAACTGCGACGTTTTTGACTTTCAGAATTATCTTTAAATTGACAAACATCATATGTGTAATTGAGGGCACAGTTCAGACGGAATAAAAAGATAAGTTGTCTCTCGCCATTGGCTACCATTCATATTTTTTCCGAAATAAGGTCCCATGAGCCGGAAGCAGAGGGGCGGGACTTAGGCTCTATATTTTGATATTGATGAGCAGTGACAGACCAATGAGATGCTCTGTTTCTGACGTGAGCTCTGCTTGGCGCCGCTGTGGATTGAAGATGAAGAGCGTGCTGAATCTGATTAATTGAATCACGGGGGTGGTGATGGCGCAGTGGATGAGACACATGCCTTTAGTGAGAGAGACCCGGGTTCGAATACTTATTACATTTTCTTTCAGTACCCCCCAAACTATTATCTTCATCCCTTTTGGGAAGTCTCATCTAGGGGGGTCGGAAGCCCCAATACCCCCCGTAATATCTATAACACGTGATGGGCACCGCCATTTTAGGAGCTGTTTACACCATTTTCAACTAAAAACGTAAATCTTTGTATGCGTTTTGGTCGTTTGTTTACACGACAGCGGCGTTTTGGGCGCCCGATACGCAAACTTTTAAAAACGGTTTCTTCAACGGTCTCTGTGTGAACAAAAGAATGAAATGTCCTCATTGCTTTATATCCGCGGGACTTTATATCCACTAACATACATTGATGTCATGTTAAAACATCAATGTATTCACTCATCCATAAACATAATTAGATCCATCGACATTACAACTAATTTCACGATTCCGCTTATTCACTGCGTCATCAATCTATGCCTTTGCTATTGTATTGTTAGCGACCCCTAGCAAGAAAAAAAGGACACATTGTAGCTGATGTCATGTCGAGGGTCCTTCATACGACTGTGATGTATTGCGATGATGTCATGATGCTGATGTCATATCCTGTTTGTCTTCCAGCGCTGACAGCATATCCGTGTGTTGGTTTGTCCTGCTCTCGGGATCAGTGCTGGTGAAGGAGCACATGTACCTGGCCCGATGCTGGTATGTGTGTGTGTGGACAACTGAAACCAAACATGTGATGATGTCATACTAGTGATGTGTGTGTGTGTGTGTGTTTTAAAGCAGGGGTTTCACTTCCTCATCATGCCTCTCATATCTCTTTTCTCATTCCAGCATTAGACTTCCTAATTGTTCATAAAAAAATAATATTAATGTTAACTAGTACTATATTTAGTAGAAACGGCCAACTAATTATCCGCCACCTACTAACTAGATACAGGCTTTTGTTACAACTTTATCGCACTTTTCACACTATTTATTGAACACGAGCAGTAAAGCTTAAAAACAACCTGTAAATATGCCCATATGAGCAAAACAAGTCACTTATGACAACACTGGATCATTTATGGCAGTTTCAGACCAAAAAATGTCCATTATTTGAAAAATGTATTGTTTTTCATCCTCATTTCTACTCTCTGTTGAAAACACTCAATTTGAAGGAAAAGTGGAAATAAAAGGCCAGTGCTGTGATTGGCTGACGTCACTGTGCCGTATCCACGGCCTTCTCTACAGCTTGTCATGTGTTTTGATCCTCGAGATGGCAATCGTTCTGTGTGAGTCAGATCCCAGTAGAAGGAATTGAAACAACTGGGTATGTACTGGTTTTATTAGCAACTCTCATGCAACGATACGCTCGGCGTCCTAATAGCATTAAAGCGGGTTTGCCGTGCATTACAAACACACTGTGACACCACGTCCACATCGGAAAATAAAAACAAGTTTAAACAACGCAGCGCTACCATTGAAAACAAATGGAAAAATACGCCAGCCGCATGACAAAACTTTTGCTGGACACATGGCCTAAGGGGACTTTTACACAACAACGTTAAAACTGAGAAGTTTTTCCTTTGAGTTTTCCGCGTACAGACGACACCATCGACAAAACAATCCCCAATCACATTGATGCGTGGATTCACACTGAAAACACTGTATTCTGCGACCAGGCCACTAGATGGCGATGGAACACTACAGACTGAACATGTGATAACATATGATATGCAGAGATTTGCATTTTTGTTGTTTACACAGAGACCGTTTTCAAATACGTGCACTTTGAAA